TCTCCATTCTCATCAGTAGTGAGAAAATAGTCGCTACCATGTCTCGCCGATTATTATCGATCGATGTAGGATGAGGTGTATCGATCGATGTAGGGTGAAAGATATCGGTCGACGAACGGTTGTTGATGTCGATGAATGGAAGGGCGCGAGTATCAGTCCACGAAGAAGGTGTCTCGGTCGACTGTGGTAAGCGAATATCGGTCGACGAACTGTGGTTGATGTCGATCGATGTGGAACGTAAGTCTTTGCGGATGCTACGTTCCAGACTGTGGGGATCTTCTGAGTACACAAGTTGGTTGTTCTTGTTGCTTCTAGTACTGCTGGGCATGTACCTGGAAGAGACAAGAAAAAAAATTTGTGTCAGAAGATAATTAAGCAATAAAAAGAATAAGATTAAATCTAATGGCGATCATAGTTCCCCGGCAACGACGCCAAATTTGATATCACTCAAATTATCCTAAGGAGTGAATTACTCTATCAAACAAGAGGTTGAGTTGTAGTACTTAGGGATCAAATCCACAAGGAACTAAGGAACACAAAATATATAATCCTAAGTGACTATGCTAGGTTGATTTAAGTTTAAAGTAAATTGCAGTTGTGAGCAATGGTGAGTTGCCAAGAGAGTTTGGTTTAGGTTTTAAACAATAAAAGAAAGTAGTTATATTCAAGGTTACTATTCAAATAATCAGGATTATAATGTTATAGATGTCTTTATAAGTTGCTTGCAAGATATTAAAGAACTTCAATTCTTAGATAAATCTATAGATATCGCTATTAGACTCGTCCATTGATCTGACTGTCGGCAATATCGATCGATGGTATGATCGCCATATCGGACGATATAGATAGCCGTCGATTGATTACTCTATAGGAGTATCGATCGATAAAGCTTCAGATCAAATTGAATATGTGTTCACCAAGATCATAGACCGGCTCTCGCATCGTCCCTAGAGGATCTCAGCTTATACCAGATGATTTCAGGATGATGATTAACAAGTTAAATCATTCCATGATCATACTCTAATTAGCTACTCTAGAGTAAGCATTAGGGTTCATCAGGATAATGAACATCACAACTCAACAATCCATAGTTGGGGCTAATCCCTCATAACTATTTGAACCCTAAATCTAACAAGTGAATCTACTCAGATATGGCTAAGTGATTCATAGCAACAAGGTAATAATAGAAATTCATTAGATTAGAAGATTGAATTCTTGGTTCTTGAACAACAAATCTCTTTGTGTGTTTCTTCTAAATCTAGAATTCTATAACCTTTATGAAAATGATAATAAGATGAAAAGAATACTTTTATAAATCAAAGAACATAAAAAGCATGTAAAGCTTTTGAAGTACAAAAAGCACTAAGGTATGAAAAGCATGTCTAGCCAAAACACATAGGAAAAACTATAAATATGAGTTCCATTAGGTTAAAAACTCGCCAGGGGCAGTCTTGTAATATTGAGAGAACTTGAGCTTCAAGGCCGAGCCAACTTGTTCTTCACGCTTCATATTGATCGATGGTACATGGTGTACGTCGATCGATGGAGTATCTCAATTCATCATCCTCTTCGGAAGCGTCGTCGATTGATTACACATGATGTGTATCTATCGATATGTATCTCTAGATATCGACCTTATCGTCTTATCTTTATAGTCATCTCGGGAAATCTCTCCTTTAAGTCCATAAGGGCACCTAAATCATCACTTTACTCCAAAATGCTCTTGAACCTTAAAACATAACTAATAGACTCCAAAACATATAAATATATTATAAAATCATATAAATACCATGGTCAAAAGTGGGTCAAAACCATGGTGTATCAGTCAAATATATACAACTGTAAAAATTTGACCATCTCCTCATCCACATGTATAAGAGATCCAATACTGTGATAATTTTCACCATGAACTTTAAAGCAAAAAGGACCATCAGAATTTAGTATTGAACAATCTATTTCAGCACTCATAGAACACATAAAGAATAAAAAATTAAACACTCTAATATTACTCTTACATGAAAGATCACATATCAGATTTCTCAATACTATAGGGGGCTCACGAATATTGAGTAATTTGATGTGTCCTTGTTTACAACAAATAGAAAATAATGGGTGTTATGTTTAATCGGTCTTTTTGGGTACTTTCGGCAAGCTATACGAATGCATTACAATCAGTATAACGCATTAGTTGTTTTTGTAAATTATTACTTCCGACCATTATTTTCTTATCTATTTACCAATATAAAAATGGTTATTGGTTCTCGTAAAATTAAAAACATTAAAACTACTAACCAATGATTCATTGATACCTTTGTGTGTCTAATAATATACTTTATATTTTCGTTTTCTTGTATCTGTAAAAAGGTAATAACTAATAATATATTATGTCGATGGTATATGGTAGAAAAACAAAATTAAACAAACTTGTGGATAATTTTGACACGTAAGTTTGTTTCCCGCTTTTTCAGCGTTTTTAATATCCATAATCATATCAAGAAATTTTCAAGAGTGATGACATAGGATTATTATTACATATAAAATAATATTACGTTTGCACCATTTCAATATGGTCGCACCCTTTCGGTAATATTATGTTCCCACTCCTTCAGAAACGTTACATTCGTACCTTTTTGGTGACGTTACATATGCACATTTCGGTTACATCATATTCACACTCTTTTGGTGACGTTATATTCACACCCTTTTGATGACGTTACATTCGCATCTTTCAGTCCCGGACCATTAACATCCTTTTGGTCCTGAACCGTTAACACCCTTTCAGTCCCAAACTTTTCGCCCTTTAGGTCCCGAGCCGTTCGCATCCTTTCAGCCCCGACACATTCGGACCCTTTCGTCGCGACACGTTTGCACCCTTTCGGTCCTGACACTTTTGCACCCTTTAGGTGCTTACACATTCGCACCCTTTCGGTCCCGACACATTCGCACCCTTTCGGTCCCGACACGTTTACACCCTTTCGGTCCCGAACCATTCGCACCATTTCGGTCCCGAACCATTCGCACCCTTTCGGCCCCGACATGTTCACACCCTTTCGGTCTCGTCACGTTCGCACCCTTTCGGTCCCAAACCGTTAACACCCTTTTGGTCCATAACTGTTCGTACCCTTTCGATCCCAAATTGTTCGCACCCTTTCGGCCCCAACACGTTCGCACTCTCGGTCCCGACATGTTCACACCCTTTCGGTCCCGACATGTTCGCACCCTTTCGATCCAGACACGTTCGCACCTTTTTGGTCTCGACACGTTCGCACTCTTTCGGTCCCGACATGTTTGCACCCTTTTGGTCCCGACACGTTCGCACCCTTTCGATCCCGACACGTTCGCACCTTTTCGGTCCTGAACCGTTCGCACCCTTTCTGTCTTGAACCGTTCGCATCCTTTTGGTCCTGATACGTTCGCATCTTGAAAGAAGAATTGTCAAATATTTGATGATATCAACAATCATTGTAAAGAATATTTTTAATTTGTTAGATCTTAAAACCAAATAATTTTTGATCGTTGGATTGAATTTTTTTTCTATAAAAAAATGTTGATGTCAGAAATGGTTTGCTATTATATATAGATATTAATAAATTATTTAGTTTTTCATTTCGTAGAAATTATGATACTCCAGTTAATTGCACTAGAAATCTGATGTTCATGAGAGGAGCAAAGATTCCATCACTCAAAATGCAATTCTAGCCATGCAAAACATTGATTAAATTCCTAATGTGTTTACGTTTTTGATTAATAGTAACATTTAACAATAAAAATCTGTTGGATGATTTTAAACAGTACAAGTAGTTTGTAAATTTGATTATAAGCTCCACTACTGTATATGTTATCAAAGAGATAAGTTCAAATTGGACGAAAGGATGCATGGACAGCCGCTGCTGCTTTTGCCTTAACGTATTCTTTTTTCTTCTTTTTTTTTGAGAAAAAGGGCTTAACCTTAACGTATTCTTCTGATTGCAAAACCAAAAGGAAGACTGAGAGAAAGATAATTCAATAAAATGAAAACTAGATTGAATCTTGAAATTGATAGAGACAGTAGTTAAGAAGATTGTTTGCTTTCACCTACAGCTGCAGCTGGAACTCTCATACTGTGATTCAAATGAATATGAAAGATCTCTACAAATAACTCATGATGTTAAGTGTAACCACCAAGTTATCAGTCACATTTGCTGAGCTGTCTCCCCGATCAACTAATCTAACTCCGTTTCTATAAAAAACCATATTTTTCTAGCTAATTCTCTAACACTTAATTTCAAACAATAACCTGAAAGAGGATTAGAAGGAATGAAAACGCCACCTTCTTTTTGGAAATGCTATTATTTTCGTCACTAAAAACTCCCAAGTTTTTAAAGTTTTGGAGGAAGGCCTTTTTCCCACCAAAATGAGGAAGTAAAAAGAATATAAAAAGAATATTTATTGAGGAGTTTTCAAAGACATTCTGGGTTACTGTCAGTACAGTTGACTACATTCCCACCATCACTGCCCCATGCGTTAATCCTCTAGCGTGAGACACACCTTCCACCATGTATAAACATCAGCCGTGTAGTGGGTTTAGAAATGCGCGGAAGCGCGTGGATAGAAAATTCATTAAATGGGGCCAACTTGCTTGAAAAGAAGTTATGAAAGACCAGGGGCGAAGCTACGTTGACACTTCTGGGTGCAAGTGCACCCATAATGTTTTAATAATTTTTATGTTACAGTGAACAAATAAGATTAAGTTAGCTCAGTTGGTAGTGAATGCACCCAATGAATCTTGATGTAGGGAGTTCGATGCACCCACAATCAACTTTATTTACATATATAAAATATTTTTTTATCATTATGCACCCATTAATTTATTTCCCTGGCTTCGCCCCTGTGAAAGACCCCATACGGCTTTCGCTTTTATTGCACAACCTCCGAAACCATTTCGCGTTCCGTTCCCACTTCCCACAAGCGTTTGTTATATTGAAGACATAGACGGGACGAGAGAAAGAGCCCAACAGGACACTAGCCTCTCTGTTTTATTGCTGTTTCCTCCATTACCCTGCCACAAAGGAAAAAAGACACAATTGAGAGGCATGCATGCAAAGACGGACTCGGAGGCCACTAGCATCGACGTGGCTTTGTCATGGCTGCCGCGCTCTCCACCGCGTTCGGCGACTAGACCTCTTTACTATGTACAGAGTCCCTCCAACCATGACGTCGAGAAGATGTCATTTGGGTCGGGTTGCAGCCCGATGGGTTCTCCCTCACACCCACATTTCTACCACTGCTCACCCATCCATCACTCCCGTGAGTCCTCTACCTCTCGCTTCTCCGACCGTGCACTCCTCTCTTACAAGTCAATCCGCGAAGGTAACGGACGCCGCCGTTACATCAACAGCGCGATAGACGAAGAAACTGATGGCGGAGATGACGACGACCTCTTTCGAAATGTGCGTCTCTACGGCTGCTTGCTGTTCTCCTTGTTCCTCTTGTTCTCAATCTTCTCTCTCATACTGTGGGGTGCTAGCAAATCCTACCCTCCTAAAGTTGTGGTAAAGGTAATAATAACTATAGCTCTTTTCTTCACTCAGTGACTCGGGCTGAGTAGAGTAGAGTCGACTCGTTTGGTGGATAGGTGTTCGGTTTCACTTTCCTTAAAAGAAACAATCTGGAAAAGGCCAACAATGAAAATAATATAATATTTTCTATGTTTTAACACTTTCTAATGAAAAAAATTATAGAAATGAAGTAAAATAGAGATTGACAAGTAAACAACGTGTTAACTGAGGGACAAATGTGCATATGATTTGGTTGGAATGTTATTAGTTGTTAGACTGAAACTAGAAGATCTTGGTGTATTTGCAGGGGATGCTGGTGAGTGACTTCAACGTGCAGGCAGGGAACGATCTGAGCGGAGTGCCCACTGATATGCTGTCTCTTAATTCGACGGTCAGGATCTTCTACCGGAACCCCTCCACCTTCTTCGCGGTCCATGTCACTGCTTCCCCTCTTCTCCTCCACTACTCCAACCTCCTCCTCTCATCCGGTGAGATGGAGAAGTTCACTGTGGGCAGGAAAAGCGAAAGGAGCGTAGCCACGGTGGTGCACGGCCATCAGATTCCCCTATACGGCAGTGTCTCTCCCCATCTGCACACACTCTCCCTGCCTCTCAATCTCACTCTCGTCCTCAGTTCCAGGGCTTACATTTTAGGAAGACTCGTCACCTCCAAGTTCCATACAAGGATCATTTGCTCCTTTACTCTCAATGCCAACCGCCTTCCCAAACCCATGTCTCTTATCCACTCATGTACCCATCACCACTGACCCATCTTGCACACTTTTTGTGTGTTCTTTGGATATATATTTTTCTCTTGCAATCAATCAACAAATTCTTCCAGGAACATTGGTACGACCAAAAAAAGTAGTGCAACTCATTACATAGGTGAAAGCAGACAAGGTACAGTTTCCACCTAGTTTATTAACATCCAAAATGAAAAAAATGAGCAAGGTTCTACGAATAAATAAACAATAAAGAAAATCAACGCCTAAAACTAAAATTCGGTAAATATAGGTACAAAGATACTATTACTGGAAGTTGGAACTGAAGAGAACCTCCTGCAAACATCATAATAATGATTTCTGTCTAACAATATTTTTAGAGCTTCAGAATGATCCATACTTCTATTGTGTTTGCATCCATTATCTGCTCGTGTAACGGGGAAATCTTAAATTTATGAAACGTTGTTGTGTGATACTTTTATCTCTCACATGAGAAAATATTAATTCGTTCTACTTCTTTCATCGATAACCCTATATGTCTCTGCATACTGCTTCAGTTCCTGAAGAATAAAGATTCATGGTTTCATATTTTAGTAGAAGCTGTAGAGTTGGGTTGGGCTGCACTGGTGTTTCCTGTCAATCTTTGGTACATATCAAAAACAAAGCTATTCCATATTTTATAGGTTACTGCGGGAGATTTGGTCTTTAGTGGGAGAGTTTCTTGACCATTTATAATGTTATTATGTTGTATAAACGGATATTCTGACCGACTCACAGATCTTTTCTATTCCATTGGTAATATGGATTCAGAATATCACTAAAATGTTCTTTTTTTCAAAACTATCATGTTTCACCAGATTCGAGTGGTTACATTCATTTCACCAGCTTTCGTTTTGAGTTTGGTGCTTCCTTTCTGATCAGTTAGTGGACTACTTTCCAAGTGAAGTTATTTGGAAGATTCATATGGAGAAAGTGCCTTGGTGGTTCATGCGTTCTTGATACTCCATCACTCATTCCCAAGGTATATATGTTTCCTTGGTCTTCATATTGGACTTTAGATCCAAACGGCTTCAGTACAAGAACAGAGCATAAACGATATTATTTGGTGTATTTAAACCCTTGTAAACACAGTTTTATTCCAGAGACTGGGACCTAATCGAGTAGATCGTACCTATTATACAAGTATGCTATAAACATGGTCTAAGCGGCGCAAGTGGCGCAGGTGCAACCCTCTCCACAGGTGCAAAAGGCCTTGCTGCCCTTAGCGGAGGTCTGGGTCTTGGAGCAGGTGCAAGGGTTGCAGTCGCAGTGCTCCCCACACGGGCACATGTTGTGTCCTTGATCCCCAGCAGATGCTGCGCTCATCCTGCACCTACATAGACTCGAACAACGTTCTTTTTTACGTTGAACAAAACACATCAATTCTGGAGAGCATATAGAGGGGAAGAAACCTGCAGGATTCTCCACCTGGACAGGGAGAAGGGCAACCACAGCGATCGTTGCAGCCAGCGACTGAAGTTCCTTTGCCTATGTCTGCCATTTCTTTTGCTTTTCTTTCTCTATTTTTTTCTACTCCTTTCTTCCACATGATCTATATAGATATAGATGATGGGCCGTGTGCACGTGGCCTCTATGTTGGGTAGCATGTGCCATGTGGTAGCTTATCGTCTACCTTGATTGGTGACGAAGCCTCATGAGTTCAAATGTGCTACGTAACCACAACACCATCACAGGAGGCGTTGTCTTTTTATTTTGGATTGGCAATATTAGTAGATGTATGTTAAAATTAGTTCAACTGTTTAGTTTAGCTCTCTAACAATAATTTAATGTTAACATTAAATCTATTAAACTAAAGTATAATGTTGACAACAAAAAAACTAAAGTATAATTAAAAATGAGTATGCCCTCATTAAAGTATTTACAATCTAATATCACTTGACCTTTAATATTTTTAGTTTACAACATTACTGTACCATCTTAATTAAAATATCATCAAACAAGTATTCAAAAGAGAATAAGAGCTTCAAATAGAGTATCCACGAAAGAAAAAATAATTAACCAATCAAAACATTTCGTTTTGTCACGTCACACATGAATTTAATATAATTGGATTTTTTTTTATTCATTTTTTTTGATGTGTGGCTCAATAAACCCAATCACATGAAAAACCATGGAAAGCTGAGACATGAATCGTGAGTCCGTTTCTTTTTGTGATGTTCTTCGTCATTTTTTCGTCGTTTTCTCTTCAAAATTATCCATATCACAATGGCGAAAGGAGCTCTCGCATATGAGAGGAAGCCCAAAACTTCCCGGAGAAATAAAATCATTGGAACCGAGTATGGCTCGGTAGAAGGAGGAAAGAGTTAACGACGGAAGAGAACAGGATCAAAGCGATGAAAGACCAGCCGTCTCCGGCTATCTCTTCATCTCCCACTCACTATCTCTCCATATCCTCATAATCAGTTAAAATTCATCTCTTCGTCATACCCTATCTCTGGATCTCCTCTCTTAACTCTCTACATCAAAACCTCAAGGGATTCACAAAATCTGAGATTATCTTCCCTAGAATCTTCTATCCATCTGGCCCTGGTGCAACTTCCACTCAACTTGATTCTCATCACGCCACTATTGATGATCTCCTCCTTGGTTCTTAATTAGGATCTCATAGATGATCTGATCATTGTTGAAGCAAATCTTAGCGATAATAAGAATGGCTATTAGTTACAAAAAGGGATACATAGATTATCTTTCTGTAAGATAATATGAAATTCTATGACTATTTACGGTTGAAATCTGAGAAAAGATAGTATGTTTTTGAGTAAAGCTACTTTTAAATGGTAATATCTGATATTCTTCTCTGTTTATATACTACGATTCTTCTCCTTGGCTATTATAGATATTGATTTGGTCTTGGATTGTTTTGTAGGCGAATTGAAGATCCTACTTACTTGTCATGGAACAGAATACGCGGAGGAGGTCGATGAACAAAGGCTGTGTATATCATCTGCGTATGTAAATCTCTTTATCCTTTGATAACTTAAGCTTAAAGTATAGGTGATTATCTATATTTATAGATGTGAAAGATTGCAACCATTACATAGCAATAATATGTTTGATGCCTCCTATTATTTTCATTATCTTTCTCTATTTCTCTTCCATCCATATTACAAAAAACACTCCCTATTGTCTGGCCTCTTTCTCTCTGTTTTCTTTTGGAGAACATCTCTGTGTTTAACTATTGTTGTCTCTATCAACAGAGAGTGATGCAGTCTCTTGGTGTTTTGTTGAATGTTCTGATTAGGACTCAGGAGGCTGGTGATGATGCTGAGGCTATGGAGGAGGATGAGATGGTTGTGAATGAGCCTGAGGTTGAGAAGAAACAAGAACGGTAGCCTGAACCAGAGCCAGAGGTTACAAAACAGAGAGAGAAGAAAGAGAGGAAGGAGAAAGATATGGGGAATGCTGCCTACAATTACAAGGATTTCAAAACTGCTATCAAGCATTACTCCACAGCTATGGAGATTGATGATTAAGACATCTCTTACATCACTAATCGTGCTGCTGTTCATCTCGAGATGGAAAGATATATACAATTCCTTGCTCATCATCCGGTAATGTTTTTTATAAATCTTTCAGTTCTCTTTTTTCCTTTTGTCTGAGTTGAATCTTACATAATTTTGTTTTATATGTATGCAGGGCTCTGCTATGATCAGGGTCTCTGTTCCGAACGTGGATGACGGGCAAGTCATTGAGATAACAGTACTGCAAGTCATTATCCGAAACTGTGGGAAGTTTTAAAGAGAAGATAGCTGCTGAAACACAAATTTCAGCGAACAAACAGAAGTTGAGCGGAAAAGCTGGGTTCTTAAAGGACAACATGTCACTGGCACATTACAAAGTCGGAGCAGGTGAAGTTTTAACACTGTCTTTGAGAGAACGTGGTGGGAGAAAGAGTTAGAGGGGGTCAGCTTGTGGATGCAGAGATGCCTTTTATTTCTTCTTTAGATGTTTTCAAAACTATATGTACTGCTATCTTTTTGACGCATCTTTACTCTTGGCCCATCGCATCTACTATCTATCGAAGTTTTAGACTGAAGAAGAAAGTTTTATTAATGACTAAAGTTTGTTTCGGATTTGCAACAAACGTTTGTCTGATCATAAGCTCTCAGAACCGAACTATTGGTTTAACCATGGTACTATTTTTTACTTGCTTCACTTCATTGTACATAACAACGTTACAATAAGTGAGAGTCGAGACATGTTTGAAGCAATATGAAACATAAGTAGAAAATAAACCAAATTTTAAGTTTCTATAATGAGATTTACGATTTCACAAAAGAATAAGTACACACTAAAGTGGCATATACATAATTACTACAAACATTCCTATACATAACTACTATAAACATTTACTACAAACTTTTTAAACGACATCACACGGTGACAATCTTCTTCTTTTTTTGAACAAAGAGCTTTTAAGAAACCATCAGGTCCATACCTTTTGCAACAGCACCCATTTGTTTTCTGATGATGACTACTTCTTAATTCATAAATATATGTGTTAGAAAATCGTAAAGAAAAAAATTGAGTGCTATCATCGAATTTCTATTAGGTTTTATTTATATTCTTCTGGTTTACAAATATGTGTTAGAAAATGGTAAAAACAAATCGAGTGCTATCATCGGACTTATATTTCATTTCAACAAATATATATTTTTCAATGAATTGAATAACTGACATAAAAATTACAAAAAAACACAAAAGTTATGCAATGAATTATTTAAAATTTTACTAAATTAATATGTAAAATTACCTTTGCAATCATTTAAGATATATATTCCCAAAAAATTAAATAATATATTATCCATTTATATGTTATGGACACAAAATAATTTTTAAATGCAAAAAATAATAAAAATTATTGTATATCATTTCTAAACTATAATAGCAAACTATTTTTAAATCATTAACTCGGACATAACCCAAAAAAGGACCTAGTCTAATCTAATAACAAAAAAAATACAATTAAGAATTATCATCCCCTCCTTTAAGTATTTACAATCTAATGTTACTGGCCTGTAATACTTTTAATTTACAACATTACTAAACCAATTTAACTATATCATCATTACGATTAACACAGTTAGTAACTTAAACTAATAATTTAATTATAATTAATTTCATTAGAAACTAATAATAATAATTTTCAGAATTAATTAATACTGACAAAATCTATTTTTTAAAGAAAAAATATAATCATTTAATTTTATTTATAGTCAATCTTAGTGGTTGTTTCAAATAACAACATGTTTTTAACAAAACCTTCCTAGAATAAATAATTAATTATTTTTACGTGTAAGTAATTATATATAAATTAATATAAATAATATGATATAAAATTATTTTAACCATTCTTAAATATTAAAACATATCAATTATTTCTGTCCCAAAATTAGTAATCTGTTTATAGTATATATACTAACTATTTTAAAATTTTAAATACTAATGGACACACATATTATAAATTGAAATAAAACATTCTTTTAAGAATTAATTATTTAATATTATTATTAATAATTTTATATGCGCTTAAAATAGAGGTTACATAACAACAACCAATACTGTATAAAATAGTATCGAATAAAAAAAATAACATTCAATACAAATAAATCTAATGCTAAAATAACAATATTTATGTATAAAAACATATCTTATACAATAAAGTTGAGTTTTCTCACTTCTCATGCATCCATATCAGCATTTGTAAGGGGGTCAAAAAAACCATGTCAGCATTTACTAATTGAAATCAAACCGGACAAAATTAATTCTCATCTCGGTTTGTAACATTCTGATTTTTTGAGTTTTTGACAAAATGGATTTGGGCTCTTCAAAATATAGTGGCCAGTTATATAATGATTTATGTATTACCCAACTTGCAGAATTTTTTTAAGATTTACATACATTTTCAGTCCGTTAAGTTGTCTTCTTACCTTAGGTTTCAGAGATCAAACCGACGGTCATCTTTTTGTAAATTTTTTTTTTTTACTTTTTTGTAAAGTTTGTTCTCATGCATCCTTATATTTCATATAAAATAATTAACACTTGCACAACTTATAACTAAACAAGGTGCATAGTTTGTATTACATATATTGCAACATCTTCGACGTTTTAGTGTACACAATTTAAAGTAACAAATGATAATAATTAACACAAATTAATAGAATTATGAAGNAATCTCATGTAAATACCATGGAATAAGGTTTTAGCCTATTCATGGGGATTCCGTAAATATTCCATTCCAAAAATCAAAAATTGGTTTTTTTTTTGTAGATTGGATGCAGTTACTAATTCATGATCTGGCATGTACAGAATGAAAATTTCATCCTATACGCTTAGAAGACAAGTTTATAAATAACAAACTGCTAAAAATTAACAAAAAATGGATTTAAGAAGCTATAACCTTACAAATTAAAGTTTATCATTGCGGTGTGTACACGCCTCCCAACTGAATGATTAGCTCACACTGTAAATGCAGTGTAATTGCA